GCTTTCAAGGTTCTATGGCCGCAGATGTTTTGCGAACCGTGGAACGGTCTCATGATTGCGTTTGAGGACAAGTTGGTGGGGCGTTCGTACCGATGCACGGCAGAATCACGGCGCAGACTCGTACATGCCGCTGTCTAGCTGGCGCGTGTGACACCGAGATAGGAAAAGGCTAGACAGTGCCGCAACTGTCCAGCGCGGCACACACGAACACGCACAGAGCGTCGGAGGGACGGAATACAGACAGAGCAGCAGTGGGAAAGAGAGAAGGTGTGTGTAGCCCTACACAAGTGGCACCTTTACAGGTATTGTCGAGCGCGGATTCAAGCGACGATGCGACAGTAGACGCGTTCTGGTGCTTACAACGACATCCACACGCAGTGGTAGAGAGAAAGACTAGTTGTCCTCCAGCACGCCTGCACAAGCAGCAACTGCACAAGGCCTAGGATGAGCATGCAAGTGACTCGCCTCTTGGCCCGACCCCGAACACACGCAGAGCGGCAAATGGACAGGAGAGCATGTATGTGGGCAGCTTCGACATGCTTCTCCAGTGCCATACAAGCATTCATCGCACACAGCAGCAGAGAGCAAGAGAGTGCGACCTTGAATCAGCACTGCACAATCAACATCCACACGCACAGACATGCAGATCCAGACCGAAGGCCGCATTGAGCGTGGGATGTACTTACGGTAACAGCGGAAACCTTTGCCCACGCTACCTTCGTCCAGCGCGACATATAATAACGCCCACAGATCGGCACGGAGAAAGAGAGAAGGAAAGTGTGTGTGCGGCCCTACGTGAGCAACAACCCCCACTTTCGGGCAGCTCTAAGAGCGGCAGTGATTTACGGCTACAAGCGCCACTGTCGAGCGCAGACACGACGCACAGACAGCACATTTGTCTACTCAACGCACCGCTCACACCGACACACACACGCAGAGCGCCCAGAGCGGCAGAGAGAAGGATAGCGTGTGTGCTTTGCAGAGGCCCAGCGTTGGAGCGCATTTCGCCTAGTATACAAAGTTCAATATTGCGGCAGCGGCTAGACCGGACTATCGGTCAGGGTGAATGAAAGAGGAAACTCTTCTTGGCGCGAATCGCCCACCGGCGCTTCGCTTCGGTGGTGATTCCAGCTGCTCACAACTCCACACACACACGCAGCGGCAGGGAGCAAGTAGGAAAGACAGAGAGCGTGTCACGCACAGGCACAGCAATCAAGCGCATCTCGGGTGGTATACAAAATTACAACAACTATCGCCCGCGGCTTGGGCTACAATCGGGTATCGTCGAGGGCGAATGCCACCGACAGGACGACATTGGTGAATTCGTCGTGGTGGTCGAACAGCGTGCAGGCCCAGGGGAGGTCGCACAGCTCGTCCTTGACACTGTCGCTCTGTCCGTCGGCCGCCGCACCCACAGCCTCGTTTCGCAGCTGCACGAGCTGTCTCAGAGTGGGCCTGACAAAGGGTGCGCCTGCTTCCGAAAGTGCGTTTTGGTTGGCGGTGTGCGCCTGCATCCAGTCGGCTTCCTTGTCCGCCTCAAACTCGCCCGCAGCAGCAGGCAATGGCAGATCCAGGATGAGAGAGCAGCCGGCGAGACGCTCGCGTGCATTCCCCGCATTCTCGCGGAAGCGTTGGAGCACCAGCAGCGAATAAGACGCAAACAGTGTACGCACCATGGTCTCGATCCAGCCAAACGTTGCGAGGCTGGGCGTGGTCTGCTGGCTCGCCGCCTCGCATGCGCGCACGGCGTGCGCGAGCAGCGCCTGCGAAACGTCGGAAAGTACGAGCAAGGCCTCGTCGAGCAGCTCGGCGCTGACGTGATCCGTGATGGCCGGCTCGTCGGTAAAGACGATGAGCACGAGGTACATCCAGAGCGCTGCAACGGCGCCAAACACGGGCACGGGGTCGGCGTTGGCGGCGGTGAGCTGAGGCTTGTCGGCCACGATGAGGCGGATCTGTTCGGAAATCAACCTCCAGATGAGCGACTGGCTTGCGGGCAGCCTGACGTAGTAGCCTGCGAGGATGGAGCGTGCGTTTGCGAGCGACTCGGGCACACTGGCGCGGTTCTCCTGGAGCCACTTGCGGTGGATAAAGGGCGGGATGGGCGCGGTGGGGTCGGTGAGCACGATGAGCGCCGGATACGAGACAAAGTGGGCGGCGCTGGCCTGTGCGATGGAAGCGGCCACCTCGCCGCTCTGGTCGGGCTGGATCCACCACTGCTTTGCGCTGGGAAGCTGCGGTGCTGGCAGCACGAGCTGACCATCGCAGTCGTAGCGCGATTGAGGCGGCGTGTTGGAGTCCGAGAGGGAGCGACTGAGTGGATGGCTGTTGGCGCCGGCGGCTGCAGCTGTGGCGGCTGTGGCGGCTGTTGCGGTGGCGGAAGGCGCGGCGTTGGGATCCTGGAACATTGGCAAAAAGCCAGGGTTGGTGGAGAGGCCCATGGTGTGTGCGAGGGAGGCGGCGAACTTGGCCGAGATGGGCGTGTCGACGACGGGCGAGTGGGAGATGGCGGCAAAGTTGCCGCTGATGGCCGAGTGGAGGCTGGGCCCCATGCGGTAGAGGGGCGAGGGGACGACGGGTTCTGCGAGCCAGCCGGAGAGGTCGATGCCGTGCTGAAAGACAGCGGAGCGGATGGGGGAAGGGTTGGGCCAGGCACTACGATTGTTGAGATTCGAGGTGATGAGGGTGGGTGGCCTGGGCGGAGGCATCATGGCGTTGTTTGCCGAGGCTGGGTGTAGCTGCTGGCGCGAGGAGGCTGGGGTATCGAAGGCATTTTGGGGCGCATGGGAGCGCTGATGCCAGGGCTCGTGCATGTCTTCCTCGACGGCTTCGGGCATGCTGGTTGTCCTGTGACGCGAGTGAGGAGCTGCGAGGAAGTTGTTGTTGGCGTTTGTGTGCAACTTGGATGCGTCGGTGGCGAGGTGGTTGTTGAGGCGGACGATGGGCGTCTCCTCGCCCTCGTCGTTTGCAAAGGCGACGTTTGCGCGGTCGATGTTGGTGACGATGGGGCCGGTGTTGGTGCGAGAGAATCCGCTCGACTTTCTTGCGGGCATTCTGGGAGGCGCGGGAGCCGCGTCCGAGTCGAGGTGAAGGTCGTGGAAGGAGTGCGGGGATTCGGTGCGGATGGGTGGTGCGACATTGGCGTAGGAGGCGGCGGCTGGGGCCGGGGCAGCCGAGATGCTAAAGTTGGCGAGGTTGGGTGGTGCCGAGTCGGGCTGGGTGGCGATGCTGTGCTGGGAGCGCGGGGAGCCGAGGGCGGAACCGGAGGCGGAGGAGGCGGGATCGTGCCAGGAGTGGTGCTCGCTCTCGCTCTGGCTGTCGTAGTCGACCTCTGCGTCGCGGTTGGCGTAGTTGGGATTGGGCGTCATGAAGGCGGCGGAGGCCATGTTGAAGTCGGGCGTCTGCATGGGCCAAGTGGCGTTGTGCATGGGATGCGGCATGGCAGGAGGCACGGCGGGGTGCAATTGCGGGGTCATGGAGTGGACGTGCGGGTCAAGGGTGGTGTTGTGGATGACGCCGACGTTGCGAGCCTTCCTGACGTTGGGATTGCCGGAGCGCGGAGCGTACTGGCACTGCTTGCCGCGAGCGCGACATCTGCCGCAGGTGGGAACTTCGAGGTCGCAGCGAGCCTTTGATCTTGCGCATTCGTAGCAGCTCTTCTGACGATCGAAGGAGGGCTGAGCCAGTGCCCTCGCCTCTCTTGCGAGGTGACGACGGAGGAGATCGTCGCGAGCGAAAGCCTTGCCGCAGTTGGGGCAGGGGAATCCCTGGGAGGAGGAGGAAGGGCCTGGACCGGATCGGCCGGAGGATTGTGCGGGGAAGCTGCCATCTGCGTGCGGCTCGAACGAGTTGGAGTAGGAGGATTCGTGGTCGCTGAGCTGGTCGACGAGCGAGGAGGAGGATGCGGAGGCGTGCGAAGAGGCGTAAAAGCTGTTGGATTGCTGGTGGTGATGCATCTGTGGGAAGGTGGAAGCGGGGTGGTTGTGGTGGTGGTGGTGGTGAATGGCGACGTTGGGCATGGGGTCGAAGGCGTCCTGTTGTTGCTGTTGTTGTTGTTGTTGTTGGTGGTGGTGCTGCTGCTGTTGTTGGGCGGCAAAGCCAGAGTTGGCTGCGGTCATTGTGAAGGAGGTGTGGGTGGTGCTGGCATGCGAGATGTGCTGCCGCGCAGGCGTCACAAGGTGCGAAGATGGTGTTGGTGGTGGTGGTGGTGGTGAGGAATCGCACGGCTGAATCGGCAAGGCGGATCGGCCGCAAGAAAAGCGAGGAAAAGGGTTCCGGCTAAGCGCGGTCTCCGTTGGATTCCGTTGGAGCGGCGTTGGAGGCGTCTTTAGCAGAGCGGGTTTGGGACGCTGGAATGTGAGGAAAAGGCGCGCAGTATTCGTGATTCCAAGTCGGAGCGTTTTGGTCTTTGGAATTGCAATTTTAGCCAAAGCCGCCGATGATGGGATGGAGCCGAACGAAAGGTGGGGGACGGAGGAGGCCGGAGGTGGGGGGGGAAGGGGGGCGTGTGCGACACGCCGCGAGCGAGCGGGGTCGTACTTTATGCATTTGCCCGAGCCATGGTTTGCACATCCAAGAGGAGCAAGATGCGGTGACGGCGGCAGCAGCAAGCAGCGGCGGCGGCAGAAGCACAAGCAGAAGCAGAAGCAGCGGCTCGGTCGGGATGATCGGCATCGGCATTCTCCACGCCGGGCGATTCATTGTTGCGACAAGAAGAATGGCGTCGTCGTGGGGTTTCGTACTTTGTGCATCTCGCATCTCGCCGGGCCTAGACGAGAGCAGAGCAGACCCGAGCAGAGATTCGGTCGAGCAACCGTGGCTGCCGTCGCTGCCGCCCTCGTGTGGGCAATCTTTGCATGTGCGAGCTTGGCGCTGTGCCTTGCTGCAGGCAGGGCCTTGGACCGAGCGTGCAGCAGCAGCAGCAGCA